TAGAGTGTTGTTCACCCAGAACGCTGTTTGGCACGTAGTAGGGCTTCAATAATTGTGTGGCGTTAATGGATAAATGAATGAATGGATCAGTTACGTCACTGTTCTTTTTAAGTTTTTATTTACTTATTTTGAGAGAGAGAGAGAGAGAGAGGGTGCAGAGGAGGGGCAGAGAGAGAGGCGGAGAGAGAGAACCCCAAGCAGGCTCTACACCGTCAGCGCAGAGCCCAGCATGGGACTCGATCCCACAAACCGTGAGATCATGACCTGAGCTGAAATCAAGAGTCGGATGCTTAAGCGACTGAGCCACCCGGGTGCCCCAGTCACATCACTGTTCCAAACCTCAGTGGGTTTGGAACCTCCTCCATAAAATGGGGTATGAATACTTATTACCCAGACTGTTGCAAGTGTTAAATGAATTAATGGATGTCAACCTGCCCAAGCTTGGGGGGCTTTGATACAAGATACCGAATTTGATACGAGAACTCTTTCCCGAATATCCCAGGCTTCAAGAACATGCTATCCACACACAGTTGGCTGTGCCAGGTGAGACCTGCTAAGAGCCAGGTGGGCGCTGTTGGAGATGGAGCGAGATTCAAGAGGTGGGGGATCAGCGGTCCTGGGAACAAGCCTGACTCTGCCACTGACCCACTGGGTCATCATGATCCAGGCTGTAAGCTGCCTCTCCGGGCCTCAGTTTCCCCAGATGAAAGGAGGACGGGAGAAACGGCCTAGCTCTCCCAGGCTCTTCTAAGGCTGCTGCAAGATTGCAAATGGGAAAGTTCTTTGGGTCCCTCAGGGATTGGTGTTATTTCGGCAAGACCTCACATGAGCTCCAAGCTCCTAACCGGCCAGCCATTTTGGAGACTTGGCCCCCACTGGCCGATTTGCACATGGTCACCTGGATCACTGTGGTCACAAGAGGCACGGGGGTGCACCCTGGGTAAATAGTTAAGAACATTCAGCATCTTGGTTTTTCGTGGTGTGTGTGTGTGTGTGTTTTTCAACTGCATCCTCGTGGGCTTTATTATCATCACGCTTATGAGGAAAATGATGCTCGGCATATAAGTTTTTCATCTTGCTGACTTGTATAAAGAGGTAAAACTCCTTCCTTATCTCATGCGCTATACTGATGATTGCTGTTTACTGTTGTACCTGCACAGCTTTCTTTCTCTGCCTTGCCAGTAGCAGGTACGGTCTCATATTGGGGCCCCCCCAGCTCAGTTGCTGGTGGCCACCAGCTTCCGTAGATGAGTGACAGGGGCCAGGTGGGGACTGTAGCAGACTGCCTGCGAGCACAGGCCCCTCGGAAGGTGTGGGCAGCCTCTGGAGGCCACAGTCTCCCCCACCTATAACTTGGGGTGAGTGTTTTCAATGCTGGCCGCACAAAAGAATCAACTGCTGAGCTTTTAAAAAATACCAAAGCCCAGGTTCCTCTCCCAAGCTGCTAAACCAGAGCTTCTAGGTGGGGCCTGGACACTTCTAGGAAATTCTGCCATTCCTCAAGGGTGCCCAGAGCTGCTTTGGGTTGTGCCAGAGACGTTAGCGAGCTCTGCTGAGGTCTAGATGCCGTGGGACAGCTGTGGTCCCAACCCAGGTAGGAAGTGAAGGGTACAGAGGAAGGTAGAGGTGAGTCGGGGCTGGGGGGTTGCTGGGTCCGAGTTCTTCATGTCTGGCCTTGCCCTGGGGAGCGACTTTGCCCACCATCGTAGGTGTCCTATTAACGGCCCTGACTTCCTGCTTCAATGCCCTGGCCTCTGGCCCCGCTCATTGGATGTGGCGGTGTGCTCCATCATAGGAGCCTTGGAACCCTCATCCCTGTGGCCCAGGGTGAGCCGATCTGCATTCAGCCTTTGGACCTCTGCTGGCGATCAGCAGGCCCAGCCTTGGTAAAATGACAGTCAGCTCCCACAGATCCCAATCCCTGTAAATACCAACAGGGAAGAAACAGCCCAGCGCGGAGAGGGGAAGGGACTTCTTCCCCAAGCCACATAGTGAAACAGGGAAAGAGCTGGGGCTGGAGTCCAGACCCTTCCTCCCAAACACACATCTGCAGTTAAACAGCTGGAGTTTATTCTGGTTGCCCCAGTGAGAGAGAGCACAAGCCACCAGCAGCCGTGATGGCCTCCGTCAGACGCGTTACAAAAGACCTCTCATGGGCTGTGGGCTTTGGCTGAGGCATTTGTGGGCGTCTAAGGAACCTTGCTCTAGATTGAATGACATCAGGAGTCGGGGGCAATTCTACAGGTAAAGAAGTAGCAGCCATTCATTCGGCAAGAGAGGGTGTGCTTGGCATTTTGTGGCGGCAAGTGGCTTTGTGCTGTGACGAGATTATGCAGTGTCCTTGCTCTGTCTCACTTCATCAAGTCTCAGAGAGTGACTCTGTCTGATGTTGGCAAAGTGTAAGATGATTTAGCTCCAACAAGAGAACACATGGCAAATCTGGGCCAGACCAGTTCTGGACGTCAGGGGCCGCTTTCTTATTCTTTCTCAAGAGTAACCCACATTTACTAAATCCTTGCTAGGGCTCAGATTCCTGTTAAATTCTTTCAGTTGGGATCTGGTCAACTTTGGCTCACTACATCTAGCCCACCTCCTGGTTTTTGTGTGTGTGTGTGTGCAACCTATGAACCGAGCATAGTTTTTATATGTTTAAATGGTCGAATAAATCAAAAGAATATTTTGTGACATGTGACAATCGTATGATCTTCAGATTTCAGCGTCCAAAACTAAAGGTTTAGCCACACATATTCATTTATGTATTGTCTGTGGCCATTTCATGGCAGAGTTGAGTACGACAGAGACGTATGGGCCCCCCAAAACTAAGATATTTACTGTCTGGTCCTTTACAGAAGAAATGTGCCAAGCCCTGCTTTATTTGTTTATTTTTGTGTCTATTTATTTTTGAGAGAGAGAGAGAAACAGGGTATGAGCAGGGGAGGGGCAGAGAGAGAGAGAGAGGGAGACACAGAATCTGAAGCAGGCTCCAGGCCCCAAGCTGTCAACACAGAGCCCATTGTGGGGCTCGAACCCACGAGCCATGAGATCATGACCTGAGCTGAAAGCAAACGCTTAACTGAGCCACCCAGGCGCCCCACCAATCCCTGCTTTAAATGGTGTCTTAGTCCATTCAGTCTGCTCAAACAAAAATACCGTGGATTGAGTATTTATTTCTCATAGTTCTGGAAGCTGGGAAGTCCAAGATCAAGGTGCCAGCAAATTTGATGTCTGGTGAGAGACTATTTTTTGATTCGTAGACGGCCGTCTTCTCTGTGTCTACACACGATGGAAGAGGCAAGGGAACTCTATGGGGCATCTGTTACAAGGGCACTAATCCCATTCGTGAGGATTCTATGCTTGTTACGTAATCACCTCCTAAGGGCCCCACCTCCTAGTACCATCTCAGCGGGGATCAGGTTTCAACATATGAGGCTGGGGGAGATGCAGACATTCAGTCTATAGCTAATGGGTCAGCTCCTTAATCCTCTTGACAACTCTAGAATTATTACTTCCATTTTATGAATTAAAGAACTGAGGTACAGCGAGACTAAGAGATTTTTCCAAACCCAGGTTTCTCAACTTCAGCACCGTGACGTTTTGGGTGGGATGATTCTTTGGGGGGGGGGGGGGCTGACTTGTGCATAGGAGGACGTTTAGCAACGTTCCTGGCCTCCACCCACTAAATGCCAGTAACACCCCCACACCCCCACTCCCACTCCCAGTTACGACAGCCAAAAATGTCTCCAGACGTTGCCCAGTGTCTCTCGGAGGCAGAATCGGCCCCAGTTGGGAACCACTGCTGTAAGCTTGCATCGTAAGTGATGGATCCGTGATCTGAACCCAGAACCTGTGTGTTCGGCTCTCCGTCACACCCTCAATGCCCAGGGATAGGTTCTCTTGTTCTTGGTGATGGTTTCAGCTACAAAAAATCTTAATCCCTGCAATTGTTCTTGTCTCCAAAACACTATTGAAGGCTTCCAGGGAGACTGACCTATTAGGCAAGGGGTATCTTTAAAAGGAAGTCAGATCCTGTCCCGACTCCCCTTTGCTCAAACACTCCCCTGGCTCTGCTCACATCTGACTCGGCGTAAACGCCGAAGTCCTTACTGTGAGCCCCAAGACCTCCGCGTGACCCAGCCCACCTCCTGCCCCCACTCGCTCACCCCCGCTCCTTCCCTCACCTCACCTCCTGCCACCCTATCCTTTACTTAGGCCCCTCCAGCCCCAGCCCCACTGCTCTCCCTTCTTCTCAACACACCAGATACATTCTCACCTCAGGGCCTTTGCACTTGCTGCTACTGTTGCCTAGAATCCTCTTCCCACGGCTCTTCCTATGACTGGCTCCTTTTTTCTTTTTTCCTCTTGGCTCCTTTTATCCTTGAGGTCTCAAATCAGCTGCCATCAGCTCATGGTGTCTTCTCAGTTGACTTGGTCACAGCCGCCCACCTGCTCCCCTCCCGACTCGGCAATCACTCTCCATCACACCACCCACTTTCTCCTACATCCCTACCTGAGATGTTCTTTCTTCATTGCTTGTCTGTCTCCCCTTCTGGAATATAACCTTCCTGGGAGCTGGGAGCTTGTTCTACATTATTCACCGTGTACTGCAAGCTCATAGCCAATAGCACATAGTAGGTGCTCAACAAATACTGAATGAATGAATGAATGAATGCATGTATGGGAGAGCAGGGTGACTGACCCATTACTTAAGAGCTAGTCTTTCATAAACATCCCATTGCCAATGGCAGCTCAGGGGAGTCCGGAGCTGAGTTACCGGTCGTCTAGAGGACTTGCAGCGTAACCCCCGTCCACAGGCCCCAAGACCATCTCCGAATAGGAATAGGTGGGACGGAAGGATGGAATCTCAGGTGCCTTTTTGAAAAGTTCAATTAACGGTATAGGAGGGGAACCCGAAGAAGCCCTTTCCGCTGACGACGTAAGAATAGGAACACTCCTATCCACTCACCACATTCCACTAAAGACGTCCTGTTCTTCCCTCCCAGCTGCTGTGCGGAGAAACGGGCTGCACGCGGTGCCCACGGAGGTGCAGTTTCTTGCTGGCACGGAAGAGTGAGTTCCCGGTGCACTCGATAGAGGACCCAGTGCTTGATCCGAGGAGATGATGACCAAGAATTCAGTGCTGCAAGCAATCCTCCCCCAGCCCCCACTTTCTCCAAATGACCTAGTGCCCAAGTTTCTACCATTCATCCCTTTGGCTTAGGCCAAAACAAACAAACAAACAAACAAAAACCAGTGCAATTGTGGACGGCAAGGGCAGGGGAGCACATGAGGTCCCTAGAGGTCTGGTGCGGTGGCGCATCTGAGAGGAGGGGCCAGCCGAGCGGGAGCACGCGGCTACGAGACGGTCAAGGAGGAGAAGCACGCAGACAGGGGTCAAGAGGCTCTAGAGGCAAAAGTATCCTAAGAGACGATCACAATCCTCACAGCTGTGTGACTAAGGAAGCCTCTCCGCCTCGATGGCACGTTTAGTGTCCGATGTCCTTTGTATTTGGCAGTGTGCTTAAGAGCTTGGGGTTTGGGAGCCCGGCAGACCTGACTCTGGATCTGGTTCTGCGGCTCGCCGGCGGTGTGATTGGGACAAGTCAGTCAGGTTGGTTTCATCCACCAACTGGGCGTGACATTGGTACCCACCTGAGAGGGCTGTTTTGAGATGAAATCAGCTAACGTCGATCAAGTAGGTCACCAGGCCCTACGGGCACAGGTAGCGCTTGTTGTTAATGGCATTGTTCCCTTGGTTTGTTGGCGATGAAACGGCAGGAAGTAAAGTCGCCTGCTCAAGGCATTGCTTGGCACCAGTCAGGTCTGTTGTATGCATCCAACAAATATTTATAGACAGCTGAACAACACCAGGCACCGCCGGAGATGCAGCAACAGGCAAAAATCCAGCCCTTGTGGGGTTTACATACCAGGGACAAGACACAAACATATGAGTGGAATTCATAGTATGTCAGATGGTTGGTGAGAGCTACGCAGGGGAACAAAGCAGGAGAGAAGGCCGGGGGGAGGGTGGCCTGCGGGGTGTGAAAAGGCAGCTTTAAAACAGGTGGTCAGAAGGTGACACTTAAGCAAACACCTGTAGGAGGTGAGGGTCATGGGGGCCCCATGGGAAGAGCGGTCTCAGCGGAGGGGCCGGCAGGTGCAAAGGTCCTGAGAGTCCAAAGCGGCCAGGAAGCCAGTATGGCTGGTGGAGTGGATGGCAGCAGTTGGGGTCCGAGAGATCACTTGTGTGGTGGTGGAGAGGCAGACCGTGAGGGACCTCCTAGGCTAATGACGTAGCCTTGACTTTGAACGAGAGGGGAGCCAACGGAGGCTTTTGGCAGAGGAGAGACATGATCTCATGTCTGATTGTCTTATTCTGTGGCCTCCGCTCCTTCCTGGCACCATATCCGGGGGCTTTGAGTCCAGCTTTGAGATGTGGTTTCTGTGAGTGGCCCGGCCACTCACTAATACATGCAACCTAGGAATCTGTGTGGGCCATCTGCCCATGCAGAGCTTGTGCTGAATCTATGGGAAAAGACTCAGTCCTCATTCTTCTAGAGCTCTGTGTCCACTGAATGAACACCCCATCCATTGGATGGGGGCTCCATATCCATTGGAGTGGAAGTCCCCTCTCCGGGCCTTAGTTTCCCCAACTGAACAAAGAAGTGCTTGCACGAGGTGAACCCTAAGGCCCCTTCTGCTCTCAGTCTCATCGTGAGGCTGAGTCTGGTCCCCTAGGCCTGGGGACCCACAGTGCCTGCCAGGACTTTCACCCTGAGAAGTCAGGCCATGACATCAGTCTCCAGCCGCCTCTTGTCTTCCCTTCCTTTTAGACCCCAAATCACATTCCAGTTGCCTTCCAGATAAGGGGCTTCTCATTAACAATTAAGGCCAGAAGATATTTGAAGTATCTTTGATTCCTTAAAAAAAAAAAAAAAAATTGATCTGTTATAGAGGGACAATTGTTAATGTCATTCATTTAGAAAAATTTTATAATTGCACAATGAAGAAGAATACTCTTTTTTTTAATGTTTATTTATTTTGGGGAGACAGAGAGAGACAGTGTGAGCAGGGGAGGGGCAGAGAGAGAGGGAGACACAGAATCCAAAGCAGGCTCCAGGCTCCGAGCTGTCAGCACAGAGCCTGACGTGGGGCTCAAACTCATAAGCCGTGAGATCATGACCTGAGCCGAAGTCAGATGCTTAACTGACTGAGCCACCGAGGCACCCTGAAAAAGAATACTCGTAGACAAAAAGAAAGACGTACCCAGCATCTCGGTCCCAAAGACAGATTAAAACAGTTAAGGGAGTACTATTCTAGACTATTTCTGGATGCCTCTCTATGTACATAAATGCATTTTAAAAATAAAAACGTTGATAATGCTGTATATGCTCTTATGTAACCTGCTGTCTCACTTAATAAAACGTGGTCAGCATCTTTTCACCTCAATAAATTGATAGCAACGCCATTATCTTTTAATTATATAATTAACAATTCTTAAATTCATTCTTTCCCAATCCTCTTAACTGCACCAGAAAAACAACCCAGAAAATATAAAGAATAAAGGAGGGAAAAAATTCCATAATTTCATGCCCAAGAAAGGCACCTTAAAAATAACTTTGTGTATACCATTCTAAATTTTTCTTAATACTCACGTATTCATCAAATATATGAATATTTTTAAAATAAATTAAGCAGTTACGTACCCTTTTTCACTTTATATGATGGACATAGTTTATCCTAATAAACATCTGTCTAGATCATGTGGGGGGTTTTTTGTTTTCGTTTTTGAGAGAAAGAGAGAGCACTAGCAGGGGAGAGGGGCAGAGGGGGAGAGGGAGAATCTCGAGCGGGCTCCACAGTGACGTGGGGCTCGATCTCACGACCCTGGGATCATGACCTGAGCCGAAATCAAGAGTCGGACGCTCGACCGACTGAGCCACCCAGGTGCCCCTAGCTCATCATTTTTAATAGCTGTGTTGGTGTTCCATCCAGAAAGAGGATCATTTTGATCTATCGGATCCCCTTTGGATGGAGATTAGGGTTGTTTGTAATGTAAACTATATTTAAAATTTTTTTTTCAGTTTTTATTTATTTTTGGGACAGAGAGAGACAGAGCATGAACGGGGGAGGGGCAGAGAGAGAGGGAGACACAGAATCGGAAACAGGCTCCAGGCTCCGAGCCATCAGCCCAGAGCCTGACGCGGGGCTCGAACTCACGGACCGCGAGATCGTGACCTGGCTGAAGTCGGACGCTTAACCGACTGCGCCACCCAGGCGCCCCTGTAATGTAAACTATATTTAGTGCCGTGGTGAACTCATACCCACGCCCGAGGCACCTGCCCAATTATTTCTTTGGGATTAATTCTGAAAGTAGAACGTTTGAGCTGAAGGGTTGCACGTCTTTAGAGGTTTTCCATGCCTGTGCCAAGCTGCCTTCTAGAAAGACCACTTAGTTCTCCCAACCCAAGCGATGCTTCCCCGCCCCCCCCCCCCCCCCGAAGGCCAGAAATTCTGAAACGTGTTCTGAATGGCTTCTCTTTGGGTTTGTTTAAAGCAAAGACTGCCCTGAGGCGGAGGCTTCCTTGGACTGCAAGAAGGAGGGGGAATACCACAGGAACATCTGGAAGGGTTTCCTTATCTCCATTCCCTACTCAGCCAGCATTGGGGGCACTGCCACCCTCACGGGCACGGCCCCCAACCTCATCCTGCTTGGCCAGCTCAAAAGGTAAAGGCAGGTGCTCCACGGGGCACGGGGGTCTCTGCTCCTCCCACCCCTCCTCCTCTCCTTCACTCAACATTCGGGGAAATATGTACCGAATGCCTTCTATGGGCCAGGCTCTGGGGACCCAGCAGTGCACAAGCTCAGAGAAGACCCCGCGCTGGGGAACTTCCATTTTGGTGGTGGAGACAAGCAATAAAGGAAAAGGCAGCTGGATACATATGCAACGATGTGATAAGTTATGGAATCAAAGAAAGCGGGAGAAGGGTGCGGAAGGGACAGGAGTGGGTGCTATTTTACGGAGGCTGGTCAGGGATGTGCTGCCTCTGTAGCAAGGTGACATCTGGGACCTAGAAGTTATGTGAGCACAGGAAGGAGGAACATTCCAGACAGGGATAACCGGTGTGGTCAAAGGTGAAAGGCACAAAGACCAGGAGCGCAGAAGGCAGGGGGGAGGGAGTGTGGGGGGACAGAAGGTGAGTTGTTAGGACCCCAGCTTTTGCTGCCAGTGAGATGGGGAGCCCAGTGCAAAGCTGAGAGCGAAGGAACGACATGATGTGACATCGGCTTTGAAAAACCAACCCCGGGGCACCTGGGTGGCTCAGTCAGTTGGGCGTCCGACTTCGGCTCAGGTTATGATCTCATGGCTGGTGGGTTCGAGCCCCACGTCGGGCTCTGTGCTGACAGCTCAGAGCCTGGAGCCTGCTTCAGATTCTGTGTCTCCCTCTCTCTCTGCCCCTCCCCTGTTCATCTTCTGTCTCTGTCTCAAGAATAAATAAACATAGGGGCACCTGGGTGGCTCAGTCGGTTGAGTGTCCGACTTCAGCTCAGGTCACGATCTCATGGTTCGTGGGTTCGAGCCCCGCGTCAGGCTCTGCACTGACAGCTCAGAGGCTGGAGCCTGCTTCCGATTCTGTGTCTCCCTCTCCCTGCCCCTCCCCTGCTCATGCTCCGTCTCTCTCTGTCTCAAAAATAAATAAAAACATTAAAAAAAATTTTTTTTGTTTAAAAACCAACCCCACTGGGGGCATTGGGCTGTGGCCATGGCTGTGGCCGTAAGGTCCCAGGAGAAGCTCTGCAACCAGGCCCCCGGGCCAGCAGTGGAGCGAGCCCTGCCAGGAGCTAGTCTCCCCATTGCCAGAGCTGTTCCAAGAGTGGCTGGGTGGCCGTCTGTCGGGGCGGGAGAATAAAAGAGAAGGGTTCTCAGATGGCATATGACTTGTCAACTCCATGATCCCAAGCCCCTGGGTTTGAAGATGTAAGCAACCCCAGGTATTGCCAGATTCCGTTCCTACGATGTTCAGATTCCAGGATCTGAGAGGCGAGGATTCTAAGATCCCTCCGCAAAGGGAGGGAACCTCAGACGTTCATTAGTCCACGTGAAAGCATTTGGCAAACACACACAACAGACGTATTTAATATTCAAATGGCCCCAAATGCGGGCCAGCTCCCTTACCCGGTACTCAGTCCAAGAATCATGGACCTCCTGAGATGATGGGGGAAAGCCGGCTGTGATGGTCTTCCAGAGAGGAGGTTTGCTATCACTTCCCATCAAAGTGGTTTTCGTGGGAAATTCCAAGCACACCCGTCTTTTAACCCCCGAAGCCAATTTTCTTTCATTTGGAGAGAGACCGAGAGAGTGCGAGTGGGGGAGGGGCAGAGAGAGAGGGAGAGAGAGAACCCCAGGCAGGCTCCATGCGGTCAGCAAGGAGCCCAACACGGGGCTCGAACCCACGACACCGCGAGGGCACGACCTGAGCTGAAACCAAGAGTCAGGCGCTTAACCGACTGAGCCGCCTACGGGCCCCCCGGAGCCGATTTGAAAACCTTAACTTTCCACTATATTCTCAGGTCCTGAAACCTTTTGATTTTAAAAGCTGGTGATAGAAACCGGTGATTCTCAGCCATGGGTGCATATCAGAGTCACCCTCCCGGGGTGCCTGGGTCTCCGTTGCAGAGATTCGGATTCAGGAGGTGTGGGGTGAGGGTAGGGCTCAGCACTTTCCCAACTGACTCAGCCCGCTGCATGACTTGGGGTTGTCTTTTCATCTTTGAGCAGGCCTGGCCATGCCTCGTGGGTTTTGGTCTGTGGCTTTGTCTGTTTTGTTTTGTTTTTAAGGACTGCAAAACGGAAAGCCAAGATGGTCCTGCTTGCCACGTGGGGACAAGCTGAGTTGGGCCCTTTAGTGCCCTCAGTTAGAAGGAAGCACCAGCAAAAGGGCGTACGGGCTGGGAGGACAAAGCTGCTGGGCTGGGCAGGAAAGATGTGGGCTCTGGGGCCTTCCGGGGCAGATGCTGAGTTGCAGGGTAGGGGGGAGCGGGGCAGGTGGGGGCCGTTGCCGTCAGAGGGTTTTCAGGCTGCCTGATACGAGCAGGACTTTGTTCCAACTTGAAAAGAAATTAAGGGAAAAAATGCTGGAGGCAGAAGTAAATATATCAAATGTGAAGGATTTGGGGTAAATTACTTGTAAATCACATGCAAATCATACACAGCGTTTGACTGCATAAGCTTGGACCTTCTGGTCTGGCGGGAGAGGATTTAAAACGAATGCCAAATCATGCGGGGTTCTGATCCTCTAGCCAGGAGCGTGGGGAGGCGGGGGAATGGCTGCCCTGAGTGTCGCCCTTGGCCTTCGCTCCCCAAGTACATTTTATTACTTCACTCTGATTATATAGGTACGTTGCAGGACACTCAGGAAATGTAGGGGGAGAAAACTGAAATACGTTCAACCGCACTGGTAACATTAAACGCACTGTTGTTGATTATGTATAAACGCCCATGCTCGCGCTGAGAAATCGCGGCGTGTTTATACGCCGTGTGCATCCGCGAGGCTGACCTTGGCCGGCTCTCATCTCCCCTGTTTCTCCAGTTTCTTCCCACAGTGCGATGTGGTGAATTTTGGCTCCTGGTTCATTTTTGCCTTCCCTCTCATGCTGCTGTTCCTGCTGGCGGGCTGGCTGTGGATCTCCTTCCTGTATGGGGGAATGACCCTGAGGTACCCTCATGCCTACCGTGAGCTTTGAGCCTGACGGGGGTCCCCGCTTCCTTCTCGTCGGGTAGACAGCAGCCTTCTCGAGTCTAGTTTCCTCCGGTGTTAACGAAAGATCGTCACTAATCTCACGTCACCTTCTCCCAGGGTGACTGTCGCAGAGCCCTCACCTCCCGGGGATATGAGGATTATGGGTAGTGTGAGCTGCCTGCTAGGCCCAGGCCCTCAGTTAATGGCCCCCATCGTCGGCAATTTACGGTTGGCGTCCTCCTTTAAGTACTCCCATTTTATGGGGCCCTGGTGCAGGAGCTGATGTGGGGTGGCACAGGGCATTAACTAACATCGACTCATATAGTGCGAAAAAGAATCCCTTTGCCAACTCCCATAGAGGGAAGCAAGCGTCTCTTGGGTGATGAGGCCACCGTCCTACCTATCTAACATTTCCAAACCAGCTTTTTAAACAAAGAACGAGTGTCAGTTCCAGAGACGTAAGCCAGCAATGGTATCTGGCAGAATGTAATGATTGCCCTGCTTTCGTGTGTTTATTTTTATGATTACGTTTTTCTAACAAGTGATTCTTGTTTTCCATTGATGGGAGCGATATAAAATGTTGTGTTTACATACATAATTAAAGACTGCAATGATGAATCTATTTGGAGGAACGTATTAAGCAAATATGAGCCAAAGGCTCTGATCGTGGCGTTCCTTGACCCAGACGCCATCCGGAACTCCCCCCTAACAGAGACTCGGGCTTCAAAGCCTGCATTAGCCCGGGGAAGCAAGTCCTGACTTTGGACTCAGATGGACCAGAGTTCAAGTCACACTTCCATGTGACCTTGAGCAATTTTGTAAACCTCCCCGAGCTTTTCATTTCTTCACTTGTGGATTAAGGCTAAAAATTAGCTACAGCAAAAGTACAGGCTGGATGAGGGAGGGTGTGTAGACTGCCCAGGACTGAGCCTGAAATAGAGCCCTTTTTTCTGGTCGACTTGTTTTCATCTAACAGACATCTGCAGGACGCAGCCACAAGAGGCCATGATGGAGGAAATGCAGTGTTCAGTGACAGGTGTTTCTGGGTAACAGAGAAGTTTCAGGCCAATGACGTGGCAACATCTTCACTCGGCAAATATCTGCTGAGTACCCACCATGTGCCTGCTAGGGTTGTAGGTATTGAGTGTGGAGCAGCGGGCAGGGCAGAGACCATCCCTGCCCTTGGGGGGCTTGCACTCAATGTGGGGAAGACAGACAGGGAGCATCCAAAGGCAGCAGGAATGCCAGTCATAAGTGCCGTGAAGGAAAAGACAGTGACATATGAAGGTGCACCCTGGAGGGCTCTCACCTAACGGGGAGGTCAGGAGAGCCTTCTTGGGGAAGGGACTTTTTTTTTTAATGTCTATTTCTTTTTAAGAGAGAGAGAGCATGAGAGGGGGAGGGCAGAGAGAGAGAGAGAGAGAGAGACAGAGACAGAGACAGAATCCGAAGCAGGCTCCAGGCTCTGGGCAGTCAGCACAGAGCCCAATGCGGGGCTCAAACTGGTGAACCGCGAGATCATGACCTGAGCCGAAATTGGACGCTCAATGGACTGAGCCACCCAGGCGCCCCAAGAAAATTTTCATGTAGATGAATTTCTCAATCCTTCTCATGTGGCTCCTGAATTTTCAATTATGGTTAGAAAGATTTCCCCATTTAGGAGTTGTAAAAAAAACAAACAAACAAATAAACAAAAAACTCATGTTTTCATTTAGTTTTTGTTTTTTTTTTTTACACTGAACTCTTTGATCTGTTTGGGTTTATTCTTAGGGTGCAATGTGAGGTTTGGATCCAACTTCATTTTTGTTCCAGATGGCCGCCCAGGTGCCCAACGCTGTTCATTCATTGGCACACGAAAGTTTTTAAAATTTGATGAAGTCTGCTCTATCTGTCTTTGGTTGCTTGAGCTTTTGGTGTTATCTCTAAGAAATAGTTGAAGTTGAAATCGAAGGCCAGAAAAATTTCCCCCTGTGTTTTCTTCTAAGAATTGTATACCCCTAGCTTTTGTATTTAGGTCTGATCCCTTTTGAGTTATTTCTTTTTAATATGATATGAGATAGGGGTCCACATTTACTCTTTTTCCTGTGGCTATCCACTTGTCCTGGGATCATTTGTGAAAAGACTACTCTTTTGCCACTGAATGGTCATGGTACCCTTGCCAAAAGCCAGTTAAGCGTGGAAGTACGGGTTTATTTCCACACTTCCACTTCTATCCCATTGATCCGTATGTCCAGCACCACTGACTGAATAGTTCATCGTTTCTACACCAGTCTGAGAGACCAGCTTTGTCATAGACGCAAACCCCCAATCCATTTCTGGGCCTTCCTGTTTGTTCCATTGGTTTATTCGTGTGACTGTTTGACCCCCCTACAAAATCGGAAGCCTGGGAGTCCTCTGATCACATTCACTTTTTTAGAAGACCATCCAGGCTGTAGGTGGGAAGGACAGATTTTGGAAAGGCTTCCCCAGGGGCAGGAAGGCCACTCCCAGCGGCAGCCGGTGCTGTCTCCGGAACAGAGAGAACGAGGCTTGGCCGGGGCGTGGTGGGGTCGTTGACAAGTTAGTCGTACCTTTGCAGTGGCCGTTCCTAACCTCCCTGCTCTCTGTTCCAGGGGCTGGAGGAGGAAGAAGAAATCCGAGATCAAGACGGATGCAGAAGATAGAGCTCGAGCAGTGATTCGGGAAGAATTCCAGAACCTGGGGCCCATCAAGTGCGTGGTGTGGGGGTTCCTGGCCTGGGGAGAGAGCCCAGTGTAGACTTCACTTTCAGGAGAGTTACCTCCTGGCCTGACCACTGGATCCCTAGGGGCTGAGTCCCGGGAGGGAGGGAGGTCTCAGGACGATGGCCTGGGAGCCTAGAGGTGGACGGTAGGAGGGTGGTTTACACAGTCAGCCTCTTGCCCTGGTGCTGTGCAAACACTCTGAGGACCAGGAAGCCCCTCGGCGTGTAGTTGGGGTGGGGATCTGCTGCCCTGTCCTGGCTAAAGCACCCTTTCCCTTCCGGCACACGGGGTACCCCCTGCCTCGGGCAGCTGCCGGGACCTTTTTCAATGCATGTTTCCCATGTGGTGAAAACGCCTAGGAGTCAGGGGGCCTGCACCCAAGACTGGCTCTGCCGCCTACTTCCCGTGTAGCCTTGGGCAAGGCACTAACTCGCTCTGGGCCCTGCTCCCCAGTCTGTGAGATGAGCACCTTGGGTAGATGTTTGCTCGGACGTTGGGGGATTGCCTGTGTCTGCCCCTGTCCATGTCTGTCTGCCCCCTCTGTGCATATAGTTATCTAACTTCCTCTGCGTGTGTGACTGCTCCCGTCTCACCTACCTCTTGGCTGTTTCCTTCTTTTTGGTTTTTCTGCCTCTGCTTTGCTCTTTCTTTCTCTCTGTTGAGTCTCCGCCTCCCCCAAAACCTTGGGAAATTCCCAGAGGGAAAGATATAAATAGCTTGGGGGGACGTGGTGTTTGATGCTCAGGAAGGATCCTGGGGGAGTGTGGAAGCCCCTGGACGGGAATCCCTTACATCCCAGGATACCCTTCCCCTCACTCTGGGGAGTGAATTACCTCTTGCAGCTTCTTGGAGGCAGGGCCTGGGCCCATCACAGCCAGAGGGCATCTGCCCAAGGCCTTCCCAATGCTGTGGTCCGCCCAAAGCCCACCATCACCGTGGCGCCTGCCTGTCTGTGCCACAGGTTTGCCGAGCAGGCCGTGTTCACCCTCTTCTGCATGTTCGCCATCCTCCTCTTCTCCCGGGATCCGAAGTTCATCCCTGGCTGGGCCAGCTTCTTCACCCCTGGGTGAGACTCGGGGGACCCGGGGGTGGAGCCCAATAGGGAAGATTCTGGGATGGGCCAATGGGGGGGGGTGCGGGCGGTGGTTGGGTGTGTAACTTTTTCCCTTGTAACTATAAACAGCTCCGTCCTTTACCCTCAAAAAATTCAGGTTCAGATGATAAAATGTTTGGGGTTCTCACGTGTTAGGAGCTTTTGCCTTTGGAATCAGACAAAACTGGGCTCAAGCTTTGTAAGCTTGGCCACTCACAAATTGAGTACCCCTGAGATCATCATCCGCTCATGCATTCTACATCTTTAAATGGCTAAAAATCAAAAGATAAATATTTGTGACAAAGAAAATTACATGAAATTCAAAGCTCATTGTCTGCAAATAAAGTTTCATTGGGACACACAGCCACACCTATTCATTTATGGATGGTCCGCAGCTGCTTTCATGGTGGTTAGTTGGAGAAGAACATTCTGTAGGAGGCTGCAGGTGGCTTCTCAACGATTCTAGTTTGGACTTGGGTTAGGCTTGTCATGAAGGCGAATATGTCTTCCAGATACTGCAACAGGCATTTGGAACCGTAAGCCTAGAAGCTCGGAGGAGGTGTTGGCTTGCAGATATAAATCTGGGAGTCATCACAGAAATTTGGAATTTAAGTCCAATTAAGGAATTGATGGGGCCAGCTAGGGAAAGAGTAAAGGGAGAGTGCAGAAGATTCTGAGGACCCCCAACATTTAGGAGCTGGGTGGAGGAGAGAAAGGGGAGAAGCAGTCAGGGAGGTAAGGTGGAAAGCCTGGGGCAATGAACCAGCCAAGGCCAAGAGAGGAGAGCGTTTTAGTAAAGAGTGAGCGGGCGACCACGTCAGATTCTGGTACGTCAGAACACGAGTAGGTAGGAAATACGTCCTCTGGACTCGGTGAGAGCTCATGATTTCCATTAGCACCATCCAGTAGAAATAGAACGTGAGCCACGGATGTAATTTTCCAGTTTTAGTAGCCACGTTTAAAAAGTCAGAAGAAACAATGAAATCAATTCTAGTCATATCGCTCACTTAACGCACTATATCCTTTCAACACGCGATCTACATAAGAAATTATTGAGATCTTTTACTTTTTTTTGCACTAACTCCTCAAAGTCTGGTGTGTAGTTTAACTGCAGCCCATCTAAGTTTGCTCTTGCCAGATTTCAAGTGTCTACTAACTGCTGGCTACCATTTGGATAGAGCAGCTCTACTCACGTAACTCTTGGGGCCTCGGACTCCCCCCGCCCTGGTTAAATGGGTGATATAAAGTCCTCATCTCATGTGGGTTGTTACAAGGAAGAAACGATGTCACTTCATCGAGCCAAGAGGAGAGGCTCTTACTTCCACGGTCTTCTTTTCCCAGGATGTAGATGCTTTGTTCTTTTTCTCAGATGAAAGATGGGTGTTGTAAACAGGCCAACAAAGCAAAGAGAAAGAAAATCACCTAGAAACTCAGTCTCCAATTCTGACACACATCTTTCCTGACTGAAAAATGCCTGTCTGGGAACCGTTCTCCATCTCAATCCCATGGGTAGTTACAGGACTGTATACATTAGCCAAAACTCAAAAGTATATTACCCTTCAGATGGGCACGTTTGATTGCATGTTCATTATACTTCAGTAAAGCTAATTGCAGAGATATATGCAACCTAGCTAAAAAGAAACCTATCTAAACAGAAGATTTTTTAACAGAAATGTGAGTACAGGAGACATATAAGTTGTGATCTGCTTTTTTTCTTTTTTGTTTAATCGTAAAAGTTATGTATAATCGTAACAAATTCAAACAATGCTGAATTGAAGAACTAAAAGTTATTCTTCATTTAACCTCTGTAAATGAAGAGATTTTCACAATTAAAGCTTCGTGTCTGACGTATCTGATATACACACACCCTCGCCCATAATAGTAGGTACACACAGACATATACGTATGCATATTACAAAAAGTGGGAGAGTACAGTACTATAATCCTGGACAACTTGCTCTTTCTAACCTACTTCATTCTTTTTAAAAAAACTTTTTATGTTTATTCATTTTTGAGAGACAGAGCACAAGCAGGGGTGGAGCGGAGAGGGAGGGGGACACAGAATCTGAAGCGGGCTCCAGGCTCCGAGCTGTCAGCCCAGAGCCCGACGCGGGACTTGAACCCACCAACCGCGAGATCATGTCCTGAGCCGAAGTCGGCTGCTCAACCGACTGAGCCGCTCAGGCGCCCCTATTTTATAAGTTTTCAAAATGTTTATTATTTTTGAGAGACAGAGCATGAGCAGGAGAGGGGCAGAGAGAGAGGGAGACACAGAATCCGAAGCGGGCTCCAGGTTCTGAGCTGTCAGCACAGAGCCCGCCGCGGGGCTCAAACCCACAAACCATGAGATCATGACCTGAGTCGAAGTCGGACGCTCAACCGACTGAGCCACCCGGGGGGCCCCTACTCCATTCTTTTTAAATGCTCCATAGTAGTCTATAGAAGGAGAGCATCTTAATTTATTTAATCAATTCCTTTTGGATTGTGTCTAATATTGCAAATAAAAAGGTTTTATTTGCAAGATACCTTCGTTGTACTTCTATGTCAATGCTTAAAGATTGATATCATCTTATATCTTTTAAAAAAACAGATGCAGGGGCGCCTGGGCGGCTCAGTCGGTTGAGCGACCGACTTGGGCTCAGGTCATGATCTCGGGGTTCGTGGGTTCGAGCCCCACGTCGGGCTCTGTGCTGACGGCTCGGAGCCTGGAGCCCGCTTCCGATTCTGTGTCTCCCTCTCTCTCTGCCCCTCCCCTGCTCACGCTCTGTCTCTGTCTCAAGAATAAATAAACATTAAAAAAAAATTAAAAACAAACAGATGCAGGGCATTTCATTATAGATAAACTATTATATATACATTGTTGTACACAATTTAGTTACACGTGTCTGTACTAAAACTCTTCCCTTTTTTTTTTTTTACTCTTATCTATCATGAACATCCCTGTTCGTAGTCTGTGTACGAGAGTCAAGTTTCCCTGAGGGTAAATTCCTAGAAGTACAATGACTGGATCAAGGGGTATTTACATGTATTGAAACATGTTGCCAGCTGCCCTCCAGAAGGTTAAACCAATTTATTTATTTTATACCATCGGTATATGCTTTCCAACGTCTGCATTAGATACTATCCTCACCCTTTCAGGTTTGACCTGTTAGCAGATAAATGATACTCCAGCAGCATTTTGGTTGATATTTCTCTTAACGCAGCAATAATGGCCATCTTTTCCAGTTTCTTGGTCCCTTGAATACTCTCCTTTCCAAATGTGTGGACTGAAAGGGCTTTTGTTGACGTGTGGCTCTGTGCCTCATTGAGTTTGGAGCCAGACGCATCTGGGTTCAGTGCCCGTCTCCCGCATGGACCATGGCCTGGCCTCGAGCAAGCTGCTTCTGCTCTGTGAGCCTCAGGTGCCTCATCTGAGATAGAAACTGTGTGGCCCCGAGAGACTTCTGTGAGCCTGATGTCTCCACAAGAGGCGATGTGGATCCTTGAAAGGCGGTATTAGATTTCGAGGGGCTGTGAGGCTGCCCCCATCTGGTTTCTGCTGGCGCAACCGGGCCCCGTCTCCGTGCCGTGAGCTGCCCCTCCCAGGAGGAGCGCGAGCAGAAGCGGAAGAAATACCTGACAGAGTCTCAGAGAAGCCTTGGTTGTGTGATCCACGGGAATTCCGCAGATCCCGTATTCGGTGGCGCTCAGATCCTGCCCTCTGTGGTCAGGTCTCTCTTCCTGGGAGGGTCAACATTTGTTTGTCTCAGCAGCATCTAAGTACCCCGGGGGGCCGTGCATAGAAGGCTTGTGCATCACGGACAGTTGCATCCATGCTGAGTGCAGGCAGGACGCTGTCCAGTGGCCCGGAACAAGGCCCCCCTCGCAGAGAGCTCCTAACTCCCTCCCGCAAATCCTCATTTGCAAATCTGCCAAACTTTTTGGCCTGCTGCGATGCCCCCGGGGTCACACGCTTTGGGGCCTTGTCATTGTAGGTTTCTTTCCGATGCTGTCACTGGAGTGGCCATTGTCACCGTCTTGTTCTTCTTCCCGTCCCAAAGGCCCTCTCTCAAGTGGTGGTTTGACTTTAAAGGTAAGGGGTCAGGGCTGGGGTCTCAGTGGGCTCAGTGACAACTGTGGCCTGAAGCATGGTCATCAGTGGCCCGGAGGCAGGGCCCGTGCCTGGGACCCGAGCCCCATGGCACTAACCTGCTTCTTCCCTTCTCTCTGTCTGAGCCATTACCTTGTCTGGGGCACTTCGGGCCGCCACAGGTGACAGGCGGGGACAAGAGTCAGCAAGGAGAGCCGGCCCGATCCAGCTGGCCGGCTGCTTTGTACGGCCCACGAGCTAAGAATAGCTTTGACATTCTTTTAATGGTTGAAAACAATCCAAAGAAAAATATTTCATGACACAGGAACATTACACGAAATTCAAATTTCAGTGTCCATAAATAAAGTTTATTTCTTCGATAAGAAATTTGTGGACATTTATTCTCCTTAGAATCATATATAGAATAGCCTTGATATTGCCTCTTGGCTCACAAAACCCGCCATATTCACTTTCTGACCCTTTTGTAGAAAAACTGTGCCGCCCGTGGGCCCGAGGCCGGAGCTGTGACTCAGTTGCCCAAGGGGCTGGACGTGAGGCTCTCAGGCCAGGTTTCGATGGCTAGGAAGTGGTAGAGACAGACACACTTCTGCCTAACGGCATTCCGGGTTACGTTAAAAGGATGCCGAGTCCCCCAGACTGGCCTTCAGGTGGCCGGTCTGTGACCCCGCTGGGATGGTTCCCAGCAGGTTAGCCCCTGTGACAGAGGGATGGGGCCAGTGGGATGAGCTCGGCACCAGGAGTCGGGAAATAGGTCGTCATCTGTTTTATTTTATTTTTTTAATTTTTTTTTTCAACGTTTATTTATTTTTGGGACAGAGAGACACAGAGCATGAACGGGGGAGGGGCAGAGAGAGAGGGAGACACAGAATCGGAAACAGGCTCCAGGCTCTGAGCCATCAGCCCAGAGCCCGACGCGGGGCTCGAACTCACGGACCGCGAGATCGTGACCTGGCTGAAGTCGGACGCTTACCCGACTGCGCCACCCAGGCGCCCCTATTTTTTTAATTTTTAATGTTTATTTATTTTTGACAGAGAGAGAGACAGAGAGAGAGAGAGAGAGACAAAGTGCAAGCAGGGGAGGGGCAGAGAGAGAGGGAGACAGAATCCGAAGCAGGCTCCAGGCTCCGAGCTGTCAGCACAGAGCCCAACGCGGGGCTTGAACCCACGAGCTGTCAGATCATGACCTGAGCTGAAGCCGGACATTTAACCGACTGAGCCACCCAGGCGCCCCGTAATCTGTTTTCTGTCGTTGAGACAAAAACTAGAGTAATAGGTGGGTTAAACTCCAGTTTCAGGGGAGGGGGTCTGAGTGCGGGGCATAAGGTAAGGATCAGTAGGGAGCCGATTTCACAGGGCCCTAGAAGCAGCTATAGCAACAGAACAAACACTGGGTCCAAGGACCCCCGGGCAGGGGGCTTTCAGACCCTGCAAACGGGCAGGATTCGTCTCTGCTCTCCGTCTTGCTTCCGACCGGCTTTCCCCATCATCCACACTGGGTACCATGTGCTGACCTCTCCATATTTCTCCAGCTTCTAAGTTTTGACCTCCTTATAGCCTCTGCTTCTTTACGGTTCCTGCTTTTTGTCTTCTGTAACTTCGGTTCCCCTACGGTGTCTTCTCTCTTGTAGTGCCCGCCTTCGCCGGACATCCACAACCGCAGCTTCCTGCCTCCTCCCTCCCGGCCCGCTCACGTCCCCTCTGCTTGCGGCCTGTAGCTATCACCGTAGCACCCCCTGTCTGTCTGCTTGCTGTGGACCTCCGAGAGTGAGACTCTGCCTGGTGTGGCTCGTTCTTACGCAGGCAGCTCTCCCGCGGGGCCGCTCCTAGCCTCCTGGATAGCTGGCCTGTGGACCGGTTACCCTTGATCAGGTCCCATCCATGCCTCTGTCACCTGTGGGGGGTGGGGGGAGGCTGAAAAAGGCCAGGCTTCCTGTCAGCCGGGGCTGTCGGGAGGGCACTGTGACATAGATGTCTGGTATCCCAGCTCTGCTGCTGATGTGCTGGGTGACCCTGAGTAAGTTCCTAGGATGTCTGGGCCTTCTTTTGCTTTCTTTTTTTTTAAATTTTTAAAAAATGTTCATGTATTTTTGAGAGAGAGAGAGAGAGAGAGCAAGTGGGGGAAGGGCAGAGAGAGAGGGAGACACAGGATCCGAAGCAGGCTCCAGGCTCTGAGCTGACAACACAGAGCCCAACGCGGGGCTCAAACTCACAAGCTATGAGATCATGACCTGAGCCATAGTTGGACGCCTAACCGACG